TGAGATCTTCAATTTGGTTAAAGTACATAGTAGCAGCCATCATTCTAGCTAACAAGCACACATCTCTAGTGACTTCAGGTGTAACCCTTGGATTACCTGCAAATGCATATATATATGATCTGAGTAAAGCCAATGAGTGAGCGAGAGCAAATAGCAAATGAAGGGCTTATAGAAACGTACCGTCACGGTCACCACCCATCCAAGAAGAGAATTGAATCAATGGAGCATTATACGGAACACGTTCTTCGATCCCAATATTTTTCAGAGCTGTGTCTACACGGCGAAGAAACTTAGGAACACCTTTCCAGATAGTTTCATGGAAATAACTCATCCCTGCTCTCATCTCATCTTGAGGCGTCGGTGGTGTTCTTTTGATCTCATCTGTTCGAAATGCCGCTTGAATCTACAAAAAAAAAGTCACATTTTTTTTCAATTACGATCTCAAATCAAGTCAATATGAAGAATCCAATAAGCTTTTACCTCTCTCTGTAAAGCCTCGTCGAGCTCTTGCTTGTCGTCAGGAGTAATATCCTTAGCATAGAGCTGAGCCAAACAGTCTCTTATCCTAAAAACACACAAAGCAAACAACTTCAACATCGAAACACCGATCCAATTCCAAAGCAAACCTTGGTTAAGTCACGAAAACTAACCTCCCATGTTTCTGAAGCAATGATCTTCTCACAGATTGAGTAGGATGAGCAGTTAAAACCAAATCAACAGTCTGATTCTTGAGAGCATCAAAGATCTCTTCAGGCGACTTATTCAAATCACCAACAAGTTTCTTAAAAGTCTCTTCAAGATCAGATTCAGTAGTAGCAGAACTCTCATCAACAAAATCACCTTTCTTCAACTTCTTGATCCTACGTCGATACGCGATCTGAACTTCCTCAGCTAAATTAGCCAAGTTAAGCATATGTGAGAAAGCTTTAGCTATAACAATGGAATCTCCTGGATCTAAACTCGTTAGTACACTCCCCAACTCCTCTAACTTCTTTGGTTCATGCTTCCCTTCGTACTCTGCTGAATGCTCATATAGCTCTTGAACCTATACACAAATAAAGATCAAAACCTTAATGAAACCCATGATCTAAAGTTGAAACCTTTACTCAAACACATGATCTAAAGTTGAAACCTTTATTCAAACCCATGATCTAAAGTTGAGACCTTAACTCAAAGCCATGATCTAAAGTTGAAACCTTTACTCAAAAATCATGTAAATTCAGGATTTTTAGCAAAAGGGTCAGATCGGAAAACGTACAGTTTCACGGAGATCTTCGCCGTGTAAGTCTTGAAGAATATCGAGGAATCGATCTAGAAGCAGAGCATCATACTCAACAAGTTTATCGTCTTCACTAACTTTACCAGGAACTAATTGACGAAGATGAACATCTATTGATGCCATCTTCTCTAACTTCCGATTCGCCATTTTTTCACTGTCTGAATCAAAATCAAAAGATCTGGAATTTAGTAAGACAGAACAAGAAAAAAAAAAAGTCAATTTTGGACAGACAAATATGAGAAAAATCTGCTGATAAAACGGAGAAGAAAAAAAGTAAAACTAACCAGTGCTTTGGAATCAGATTCAGATTTGCAGAGTTGTGTAAGCAAAAATAAGATAGTGAAGCTTACGTATATATAGAGAGAGTGATCATGATTTCTATCTTTTATTTGATTCTCTATGTGATGATGATGCTAACCTTACAGTTGAATTTTAAGCG